ACTTAAAATGTGTAAGAAAAAGTGAAATATCCCTCAGGGAAGACACAATATATTTGTTTTATTACACATCAGTATTGCCTCAGATTGTACTCTGAATTTATTCACAAATATAAATCATATTCTTGTTATTTTAGCATTTCCCCCAAAAAATGAATGCAAAATAGAATACCCCACGGCACAAGACCACACACACATGTCATCGCTCCACTGGAGTCACTTTTGAATGAGAAACAAATGGCCTTGAATTAGACTTTCAATCATTTTCCTCTCTCACCAATGTATTGTTTTCTTGAAGGCTGGGCCCCTCCAATCACAGACTAGAGACCTCCCTTTAAAAGGTCACCAATTTACAGGGGTAATATAAACTTTAGACTGCCATACCTGTAAGAGTCCCACTTTTATCCAACGTTAATGGATCTTTGGAGGACCTTAGCCAATGCAAACTCTGCACATTAAGTGTGTGAGTTTTCTCTGGCTGTGAGTTGACAGAGCTAATCACTGAGCCACTGTGTCACTTCATATACACAGTCTGTTCAAATAGAGAGCAGGCTCTGTCAGTCTCTGATCGTCTGTGTGGCAGTGTGGAACCACATTTATGACTTATGGGACGATGCCAACTTTTAAAATCGGGCAGTGATCCAAAGCTGTCTTTGATGAGTCGGTTAAACTACAATTTGTGTTTTTTTTACCATTTCAGTGTGCCTCTTTAACTCCGTGAACCTGAATGTTTGTGACTACCTGTTTATAAATGCATGTAAGTTGATTAATAGCACGCTGTTGCTGAAAACAGTGAACTAAAAAAGATGCCCATTTTAAAGTAGGTCGATGAATAAAAGTGAAACTCCTGAATGGCTTTAAAGGAAAATATACACAAACAATCCACTGAACTCTTCAGGGATTTCTCAGTCTTTTATTGTACCATTAGATGTTGGCATTCATCTATGTTTCCTTTTGTAAAGTGTACTGTTAAAGCAGGAGGCAGTGTGTGTAGGGTAGGATGTCAGTTAGATTTAATAGCTGTGTTTTCTTTCAAAGGGTTCAAAAAATGTGTTCATCCAGTTACTTTAAAATGTTTGCTCTGTCTGACACTTATGCAAATCAGGTGAAACTAACACTACACTGATGTCAGCAATATAGTGTTGCAAAAAAACAAAACAATAACACAGTGAAATCCTGGTGTAGATATAACAAAGAAGTAGGGCTGCTCGATTATGGCAAAAATCATAATCACGATTATTTTGGTCAATAATTGACATCACGATTATTAAATACGATTATTCATTGACTTTGAAAACATCAATTTATTGAACTTTAAAACAAATAATAATTTGAACAGTATCTTTTTAACTGTTGATTACCCTGAACGTATAATTAAACTGAAAAACCAATACAAAAATAAATTAAATAAATGATATATTTAAATAAATAATATCAAAATAATAAATACCAATAAACAAGATCAACAAATATTTTGGAGCGCACTTCCACAAGCTACTAAACATATATAAATATGATAAATAAAAATAAATTAGACTAAAATTAATTTGATCAAATATGTTGCAGTGCACTGTCACAACCTAGCAAAGCTAAATAATCGTTTTTTTCGATTATGTTGTTTTTGTAATTGTGGCAGGCCAAAATCGTAATTGCAATTAAAATACGATTAATTGCACAGCCCTACAAAGAAGTACAATTTCATTACATGTATAAGAAAGACCTGTCTATACTTTTTGATAGGAAAAACAACATTTGCTTCTCCATAATACCTTGCTGTGCTTGACTTAATTCAAAGAAAATTCAAATTCTGGCATTACCAATGTAAATTAGTCACTAACACTTACTGGGCCGAAACGCTTTACAAATTATAATGTTCCAAGGGGAATAACTTCTTCTTTGCATTGACATTTGAATGACCTTGTGAAAAACTAACAAAACAGTCTTGTACCTGCCATCAAAACTAAAAGTCCTAAGGCGGGTATTGGTGGAAAAAATGTATAAATGATATCACTCTGTCAATGCTGCTAGTGTAAACAAATCCACACGTGTAATCAATAGTACATATGCGTGTGTGATCCAAGGTCTGTTACTGAAGCGGATTCGGTCTCCTGCCGAGCTGGTTGTGAATGATGAGTCATCACGAGTAGGTCTTTGATATTCCACATAGCACTCAACTCACTGAGACTTCTGCTGTGTGAGGTCACACACACTCAGACACACACACAGGCAAACCCTCACGCTTATCGATCAAAGATGGAGGTGCAGCCGCTATTTTCCTTTATCTGGAGTCTACCCTGGCTGCTATTGATTCCTTTTTACCGGCCGTTTAATTCACAGCCAGAGTACGCCTGCCACAGCCTCCACTGCCAACACCACTCGATGTTTATCGACCATAAAGTAGCACTGCAACTTACGCTACAGCTGTTTTATTGCTGCACTCATTTATACTTATGTGTCAATGCTGCAAAATTATTACCCTTTAACTTCAGAAGGTAATTTTTCATATGAGAACAAGTTGCTGGATTTACTTTTTGGACTCTGAAGGATTTCTTCATTGGAACATTTGAACAATTTACAACGCAATAATTTTGACAGCACTGACAGGTCAAGCTGTGTGTATATTGGTGTGTGAAATATTCTCATGTGAGTGCATGAGTCAGTGTGTGTCTGCAAAAGAGAGGGAAAGCCTTTCATGTCATCCTGAAATCACGTGCTGATTTCCTTCTTAACCTGTGTGACCGTGAAGTCTTGTGATTACAGTCCCTTGTTTTGGTTCCTCTCTCCTTCATTCTTTCTCTCGTTTTCTTCTCTCCATGTTAAGGAATCTAAGACTACAGAGACAGGGCCTGTAAGTAAAGAGGAACGAAACTATCACTCCCTCGGCAGCTTGTTGCCTTAGAGACCAGCAGAGAGCGAGAGATAAATCTGTGAAATCTTCTGATCATCTGTGTTTCTGTGTGTGTGTGTGTGTGATGGTGTGTGTGTGTGTGTGTGTGTGTGTGTGTGTGTGTGTGTGTGTGTGTGTGTGTGTGTGTGTGTGTGTGTGTGTGTGTGTGTGTGTGTGTGTGTGTGTGTGTGTGTGTGTGTGTGTGTGTGTGTGTGTGTGTGTGTGTGTGTGTGTGTGTGTGTGTGTGTGTGTGTGTGTGGAGGTTGCCTGTGTGGGTGTACAGAGAAGGGGGTTGGCTTCTGGCACACAACAGCAGAGGACACTTCCCTCATAACTTCTCTCCCTGCTCCCTCTGCCCTGTGTTTTCTCTCACAAATTGCTACATCAATGCTGAAAATCTAATCTAATTATTACAAATTAGAGAGCGCCACTGTCTTTCTCCAGCCCATGCCCTCACCTCTGAACCGATATCCAATGGAGCCTCTGATAAACAATAGATTGTGTCTGCGTCTCGCCTGGATGAAAAGAAACGACATTGTTAAACGAGGCATAACATGTTATCTTCAGGAAGCCATAATGAGTGTCAGGCTGAGGCAGACAGAAAGGAAGGGTCTAGTGGAGGAAAAGGCTGCAATAGGGTGGGTTACAGGACATTAACGCTTTGGTACAGTATGTTAAAATCAAGCAACACCTTGCCTAAAATTGGATCTGGTGGATTTTAAAAGCATACATAAGAAGGAAATCTAAGTAAATGGCCCTTTTCTTGGGTTTTCTTTTGGTTATTGCCAGTGGTAGTCACTGAAACTAGATCATTATAAAAAATAGTGTGGTAGTGTAGTCAACACATGTTCTTTGCCATGCTGAGAAATCCCTACTGGAAGCTGTTTTTGATCCCAAAGAAATGGTTGCCAATCTCAAGAAATTCAAGATGTGTTTTCAGACACCTTAGAGGTCGAGAAAGTAACGACGGTTTACTGCAGGTCGGCTTCAGTCCCATGGCAGGTGAAAGTCAGGTCATCAGGAAAATAAATACACAAACAAGAACACTTGTACTGGAATCTGAAATATTTCTCAGTGAAATCGGATTTTCAGCATATTGACGGGAGGGACCGGTTACTAATACTATGAGAAAAACATAATCCCCTTCTGTAAGGAATGAATAAATGTTTGTCCACAAGCCTGACATTTCATTGGAAATACATTCTGTGGTTCAGTGCCAGAAGTTAAAATTGCATCAATTTGAATTTGTTATGCTCTGATTACATCTGTGGATTTATAATAATGTTGCAGCCTGATTTTTTAGTACGCAGATTCAAAAAATATAACACTGTTTATTTATAATGTAAGCCAGATAAATGATGTAGCTTTAATCACGAATCAGGTTGTACGCTAGCTGATTGTATTGGTGAATGATTTGGAGAATGGTGCATTCGTTAACATATGCAAATAGAACTATGACCTGATAAGCCACTGGTGGAAAAACGTTTCCATTTTACAGAAATGTGGTTTATTACAAGACTAAAACAATCTATTCTGCCCTTGTAGCATCTCTCTTATTTGAAATAGCTGGAACCTATCTAGTAAATTTGCCATGAAATTGGAATTTCAATCAAGCGTGATCTAGTCACAAGAAATGTGACTAAAGAACACAGACCTATAGAAGCCTTAAATTGATATTATTTGCACCAGAGACCGCTTTAAATCAGATTTTCTCCACTGGAGCGACATCTTAATTTATGTTGAATAACTTTTAACAAATATTTGAATCTACTATGTATGGGAAAACCTGATTTGTAGATAAAACATTTAATTATCAATGTTAAAAGATGAACAGAAAATCAACTTTTAAACACAAACAAAGAGTATTTTAAAAGAGCATATTTTTACAATTGTACCAGAGTAACAATGATGCTTAACTTTTGTCCCAGGTGTTTCTGGGCATTCACAAACTGATCTTGACGGACAGCTCTCTAATGCGCCTCTTCATTTGTTGCACCTGTTAGGGGCGGGACTATTTACACCTTAACCATCGTTGCTCCAATCAGCCTCAGTGATTGAAAACACCTGTGTGTGCACACATTGTAACACACAGTCACATCCAGACATTGGTCAGTAAAGCTATGGTTTATTCATATGAACATGTTGAAAACTGGATACATCTTTGGTTCTATAATCAGTTTCATTATACTGTATATAATATGTACATGTTTGCATACATACGCATGAATCCCATAATTACAAATATTACAAATATTATAAATTGAATATAAAACCATTGAATTAATAGGGAAACAACATAATGAATCTTTGCTTTAACATGTCATTTTTTCACACACACAATGTACTTTTTGATATTTTGCAATATACATGAGTGCAGTTCTACCTCAGTGATGAAAAGCAAGGTACTTTAAGTGCACTTATAAATAAAATATGTAGTGGATATATATTTTTAGGAAATTAAATAAGATGGTTTGTATTGGAAAAAGGCACTTTTACTACATTAATATAATCTGTTATACATTAAAGCCGGAAAATGTGCATGAGGGAAGACAGGAAAAGACAGTGTTATAAAATGACCAAAACAGAACCAGATGTAATAAAACCATCGCTAGTGGTGAAATTGTAGTGTTATCAGGATTCAAATTGAGTTGCTTTGCATATCAGGAGGAAAACTATATTTCTGTTGCTTTTTGCCTGCTTATTAGTACAGAATGACATCTGAAAAAATAAAAATAAATGCTGTGAGGGAGGGATGTGAAGGGAGAAAGAAGCAGAGAAAACTCAGACACAGAAAAAAAGAGTAAATAGAGATTAGCTCTGCAGACCTCAGTACAGATACACATACTGATACTCTGTGATTTGCTGCGATCTCTCTGTGCATGGGTTCATTAACGGTGTCTCCATGGTAACCAAAGTGCCAGTGTCAAGGCTTGAAGTCGCCCAGAGGGTAACCTTGTCTTTGACAAGCGCATACAGCTGCATCCAGCTCTCTTTCTGTCTCCATGTCTTGAGCCAGCTGCCTGTCTCTCCCTCTCCACACTCACACTACCATACAGGAATGAGGTTGGCATACATGCTTACAAAAAAAAATCTGCCAAAGTAGTTTTCCTGCTTACAGAAAAACTAAACTTTTTTTGTGTAATGAGATACAAAAGGACGTCTGGGGCTGTCACTGGGATCTGAAGCAGGAGGAGCATGTCCTGCCTTTGTCATTCTCCAGCTGCGGGGTGATGGTGTCGGGCACTTCAGCTTGGAGCATGTCGTTCTCACTGGCAATGATGTGTTTCACCAGGCAGTTAGCCGCTTCATCGATGTTGATGTTTTCCTGAAAAGAGAGGGCAAAGTAGAAGGAACAAATAGAAAGAGAAATGGTAGTATGAACAAGTGGTGACAAATTGTGATTAATGCTAACATTTTATGAGCCTAAACTATAAATATAAAACATTTTGAGCATTAAACAAGAATCGGCAAGAGCAGGTGAGTAAATCAAATGGGCCGTGACTAAACTGATTTGATGGATGAGGCACCGGCCAGCAGCCATGACGTGAACCAAAACTGAAAAGAGAGTATTAATAAATGTCCTCGCAGCTGCTGACAGTGGTCTCTGCAGTTAAAGCAGTGAAAATGACAATAATACTTCAAACTGTGAGATGAGTTTGATTGAACAAGTGATGTGTGAATGATAGGTCAAATTAATAATATGAAAAACTAAATGCTATAATTAAAAAGTGCATATCACATGAAAATCAAACACTAGGAATTGAACAATCTTGAAAAGTGTTTTTAGTGAATAGCTTTGGTTTATTGTTAACAGGAGCGAATGAAAGTGGAGTCAACATGTATCGTTGATAAAAAAATGTAAACAAACAATATAAACAACAACAGAAGTGTTTACAAAAAAAATCCAAAAGTGCTGCTCATATTATTCTACATTTGTATGTTGTAAAATACCATTCTACACAGTGTTTTTGCAGCCCTGTAGGACTTGGACTGAAGCTGAAGTAAACTAGAGAAATGTCAAAGTAAGGTTCACAAGAGGAGACGACTAGAAGTGAGTATTCATGAGAGACACACGTATGCACACACTTTCTTAATATGTGATGCAGTAGCAGCACAACAGCTGAATATTCATCAGATCTAACAGTGTTCTCAGTAGGATGTGACATGCTTCTGTCTGCAGCTTCCTGCACTTCTCTCACACACAACTCCTATGTGTCGTGATCTATCATACTTAGTGTTAGAACTGGAACAAAAGAATCTCTCAAAGTGAGATAAAACACCATAAAAACACCCTCTGCCCTCTCTCACAACTTCACTTCTTTCCCTGTGCATGCAGAACATGTGCAGTGTTGTTTAAGATTAAAGTTTGAAATAATTATTTTGTTGTGTTATTCTGCAGTGGGCTCAGTGTGTCAGATAGCGCCCTGATACATTACAGGCTGAAGAGCAAAGTGTACATGTTTTTGTGCAGATGACACTTAAAGCATCCAGATGCACATCACTTTTGAAGAGCTTTATGAGCTTCAGACTCCACAGTGTTCACAGAGTAGTGGGTGCAACTAGTAGAAGTTCTAACTCACACTGTGCAACCATTTAAATCAAATATCACTTAACAGTGGTGGTGGTGGTGCTTCAAAACCAAGCCACTCAATTCCTTCACTGGTTGACTGCCTGAATTTCAACGGCTTCATTTAACTGAATGTTGTAGTTTATCGGTATAACGATGAGTGTGTGTGTGTGTGTGTGTGTGTGTGTGTGTGTGTGTGTGTGTGTGTGTGTGTGTGTGTGTGTGTGTGTGTGTGTGTGTGTGTGTGTGTGTGTGTGTGTGTGTGTGTGTGTGTGTGTGTGTGTGTGTGTGTGTGTGTGTGTGTGTGTGTGTGTGTGTGCACGTCTCTGTCTATTTTCCTCCCTTAACATCCAGATGTGAGATTCTAGCTCCACATTAGCAGCTATCATGTCTGGTGTTAGTCTCAGTGAGTAAGTGTGTAGGTGGGTGGATCCTGATAACGGTCTGCCTCAGTGAGTCTTACATTTGACTGTCCTTTATGAAGTTTCATATTTGTTTTTCCTATTTAATCATTTGTTCTGTTTATCGGTTTATCATGGAAATACTTTGTTTCCAAGTCAAACTGTACAGGTCACATGGGTTTTAGACTGGCAAAATGAAAATAGATGGCAACCATTTTAGTCAAATCTATTTCATTATTATCTCCTAAAAACAAGTCAAGGTATTGTCATAAGTAATCAAGTGGTGTTTGTTTACCTTTGAATAATGCAAGGATAGCTATTTCCAGTCTGTATGCTAAACTAAGCTAACCTGAACACCTCCTGGCTCATGCCTTTTAAAAAAACAAGGGTGTTATCAATCTTCTGTAACTCTGGGCAGGGATGTAAAGAAGGTGAATAAGCATTTTTCCCAAAGTTTTCAAACTATTCATTCAATCTGTGTCGGTCGGTGGAAATCAGTGGGCTGAAACATTCCCTAAACATTATTGAACATTGTGTCTGGATGATAGAGAAACTGATGCAAGTGCAGCTGAGCTGAACTAACATAGGGGGAATATCTGCTGTGAGACACGGCTCTGCTCATTGACTGAAACAAGTATTGAGTAGACTGAGAGGCTGTTAAACTCGCTTTTAAAGGATTTCTTCACACCCTGAATGCGCCTCTGTGGTAGCATCTCCACAGAGTAAACAGGCGCTGGGTCTGATACAGTCAAACCATCAGGGAGTCAGATGCTTCTCAAGGATATTTGAAAAAAGGACAAACCTCAGGAGGCTATCCACAGCTCCATCCTGCTAGCTATGTCCCTGCTTTGTGTTCATAAATGTGTTCATAAATGTGTTCTCACCTTAGCGGACGTCTCGTACCATCCCACAAAGCCGTTCTCCTGGCAGAACTGCTCCATCTTTATTCCATTATTGGTCAGTACGTCCCGACCCTGGTCACATTTGTTGGCCAAAAGCACAGTGGCTACATGTTTCCCATTGGCAAGGCACAGTTTGGAATCCAAGTCCTCCTTCCATTTGGTGATGGCCTCAAAGGAGGCGGGCCTTGTGACGTCAAACACAATAAAGGCGCCCATGGCCTCGCGGTAGTACACACGGGTCATATTGCCAAACCTCTCCTGACCTAGAAGGCACACACAGACAAGGGCAAAGATGTATACACAGAGAAAAAATTATTATAATATTATCAGAGTCAAGGTGATAAAACGTGATACTGTCTTGCACAGTGAGAAAATATTTCTTACACTTTCTTGGGAGCTACATTCTGGCGCCCAAAAAGCTGCTGTGACACCTCAGCAGCAAACAGACACAGAGCCATGAATCATCCGATTTACTCATTTTATCACACTCCTGTCTCTTGTGCTACCATGCAAGAATTCCCGACATACCTCACCCACTCTCTCAAACATGGATATGCACACAAAATAGCATGCTTATACTGTTAGAAGGGCTGCATAAAGAGAGAGATAAGATGCAGACACGGATAGAGGCAGGGCTGGTAGGAGGAGAGAGGAGTCTTTGGTGTGAGCGTGTCCGTGTTCTCTTGACTGTGAACTGTACAAATTCCTCAGAGTAAAATTAATTCGATAAGCTCTGTAGGAATGCTGTATCCGCAGTGATTTTTCCCATCCATAACGTCTGCTAGAGCACCATCAGTACCAGCCTCACAGTTCAGCTTGTGGGCAAGACATTTGTACACTGAGGACTAAACCACAAACCCTAACTGATCCTTCTAAAAGCAGTTTGCATCATGGCAAAGAGGAGAGGAGCTGATATTTATTTACAGGCTACTTTTTAGAGGCCAATAGAAACATTCGCTATTCACCTGACACCTGCACAGATGGACCGGTTCACAGGGTGAGCTGCTCAACAGCCAGGAGGTTGTGTGCCATTAAGGACATATCAGAAGGGCAGAATATTGTATAATAATAAGAAGTATCATAGTATAGAACGGCTGTATACCAGATGAAGAATTATAATTGTGTATTTAGTTGTTAACTGAATCAAACTCACTATTGTTTCTTGTCCTAATAAAACCTAACCTGAAAAAAAGACAATTGTTTCAAACTGTTTCTCTTTAAATGTTAATAAGAATGACTGAATATGAAACTGGTTAAGTCAACATTGTAGCTAAAGAAAACCTTATGTTAGGGCTGCTCGATTATGGCAAAAATCATAATCTCGATTATTTGGGTCAATAATTGATATCACGATTATTAAAAACGATTATCCATTTACTTTGAAAACATCAATCTATTGGAGAATTTTTTGAACAGTATGTTTTTAACAGTTGATTACCCTAAACTTTAATTATAATTCAACTGAAAAACCAATAAAAAAAGAAAGTAATTAAAAAAAGTAATAATAATAAAAAAATAATCGTTTTATTTCAATTACGTTGTTTTCGTAATCGTTGCAAGCCATAATCGTAATTGCGATTAAAATACGATTAATTGAGCAGCCCTACCTTATGTATCATCAAATAATAGTTTAACAGTTAAAGGCTGTGCTAATTTACTTTATCAGGATTGTGTGGGTGTAATTTGATTAGATAATACGTTTTTTTTCTTTGTGATTAGATCCTAACTGCTGCAAGACGTTGCTTATTTTCACCCTCAAACTGGTTAAAAGAATACTGACCGAAACATAAATACAGGTATCTCTCATGTGGAATTACCAAAACCATTTAACCATATAAAAAGCTGATTTAGAAATGATGTTTCTGGTCCTTTAAAGTTACTTAAGGTATGGAGAGGCAAAGGCTTCGTTATTAGATATGACATGTGGAGATGAAGTAGAGCAGATAACATGTGAAAGATCTTTGGTCAGTTCTGGAAACATCCACAGCTCAACACTGTATCTTTGTGATTTCAAAAGGCTGAACAGTATAAAGCCCCTCTAACGTGCCCTAAACCAGACACATCATCATGCTCTATGCCCCTGCAGATATCCACTTCTGGACAGAGAAAAATGGGAGTCAAAAATAGACCGGCTGAAGTTATTATTTGTCTTGGGAAATGCACAGAAGCAGCAGGTGATGTATTACTTCTGTGGCATGAGAAACCTTAAGACTATCATAAACCCCCAAACAAACAAAGCAGTGATGGACAAAGTAAAATGCTGAATGCAAACATATTTATTTTAGGACATTTCCTTAAATTTGCTTGTAATCAGTGTGTTTATTTGTGACAAAATCTTAAAATATATACCTTCTAAGATCCAAACTAACTAGAAAACTAATTTGATAATCTTAATGGACAGACTATGTAGACATACTGGCTACCCCACCTCAAGGCTTCCATAGCTTTAGGGTGAGTGTAGGGAACACGTACACTCCAGACCTATTGCCGTTTTCTCTGAGGGAGACACTAATCCTTAGTTCACAATAAAAGCTTTCTGTATACAAGAGCTTGGGCCTCAAATCTGCCTCATGAGTTTGAGACACATGACTGCTTGCGCTTACTGGAGAGGGCGCACAGGAGGGGAGAGAGCTGCAAGTCAGACCATTCTTCTGAACCTCAGCCGACACTCATGTGAGATGAGACTGCTGTAGCCTTTGGGTGTCTAACCCACAGCATCCCTGTCAAAAGCCCTAAATGTATGTTCACCCCAGGCAATGAAAGCTTAAATACGTTACAATTTGTCATTTTCACAAAATACATTCTCTATTCTTTATGAAAATGAATTATCCGCATTCCAGTTGTGTGCAGTCATATCTGGATGCATACAACATAGTATGGCATGCAGTTTAGCAGATTGCAGAGAAGAGGTGAGTGGCCACAAAGACAATTAGTAAATGTTATCTGAAATGCATTTAAATTAATCAGTTACATGAATTCAATCTTAGTCTTTTTAAATAAAATGAAAACTTGGAAGCCCCCGCCAAACTATCCCACAGATTGAAACATATTTACTTGTTTAAAGGTCACACGAATGGGTTTGAATTAATATTGACAAATATGTTATACTAATCATGGTCCATATGCGAGCTTTGCACTTTGGTCTAAGAGAGATGTTCAGCATTTGTGTGTGTGTGTTTATTGTGATTCTAAATAAAGACAATTGTGTAATTACAGAAATGCGTTGCTAAGTGATTTGAAGTGAGTAATGTCAGAGGTCAGCTGGTAGACATGAAAAATGTTTACCCTAGATAAACCTTAATATCACCCCCCTGCCAAAATGGTTAAATAACAACTCTGACGACATTGTCTCATGATCAGTTCATGTCTTTTCATCAAAGGGCTCAAACTAGATGTTTATCTAAAATACATAATTATTTGAATGTCAGTACACCACATGACATTTCCTCTCAGGACTCTTTTACGTGACTTGTTGCCTTTCCTAAAATAAAACGTTATTATTTTTGTTATTTGAGCAGCCGACCTATCATACATATTGAATCTGTTATTTGGATAGTTATTTTTCTTGAATTAAAATTACATGAATGGAACATTTGATTCTCATAACTACTACACAGTGGAATTTTGAAGCAGATTTATTTTATCATGTGACGATCAAAAAAGAAAAAAGGCATCACTGTAAACATAATCTCCTCAAGAGATATAAGAGCCTAAAGCCTTTAAATATATATATATATATATATAAATGAAAAAGTACATGTTATTTAAGTGTCAAACAAAGTCTATCACAGCTTAAACTGAAGAAAAAGTGAATATGTGCTACATATTTATAAATCTCCACACATTCCCATATTCTTTCGAAATACATCATTTAATCAGCTAATTTCCCTGTGGCGTGCTTTAACAAAACTGTACACTTTGAGACACAGCAGCAAAAAAAAAAAACTATATTCAAAAAGGAATTTAAAACTAATGTTTCATAACACCTCATATGCGTTTGCCCTTTCTGAAACTCTGCTTTTTGGTATGAGCCGTGCGTAAAAGTGGTTATGTACCTGCGATGTCCCACAGCTGCAGGCGCACCGTCTCCTGGTCCCAGTTGAGGACTTTGAGGGCGAAGTCCACCCCGATGGTGGCTCGGTAGTTGGGGCTGAAGTTTTGATGCACATACCGCTTGATGATGCTGGTCTTTCCGACCCCGAGGTCCCCTATAACGAGAATCTTAAAAAGATGCTCCTTGGTGTGGTTGTTCTGCATGGCGACCGAGGAGGGCGAGAGCTGAGCATGAATCCACCGGAATGGAGAGAGCCGGGGGATGAAAGGGGAGAAGCACAGGACAGCAGGGAACTGAGGAGAGTTGGGAATGAGTTGAGAGGCGAATAAGGAGGAAGGGGGGAGGAAAGGGTGAGAAGGAGGGAGGTACGCCCTGGTCCACAGACGGAAGTGGAGCGGAGTCGTCAGGACCTTGTGACTGTAAACGCTGCCTCCGAGAACCAGGGAGTATTTAACACTTCCATGCCTGAGAGGATAAGCACTCAAAATATTAAATGCTGAGGTAATAACTTTAAAACTCACATCGAAAGTTATTTACATCTTCAGAATGCTTCATCTGTAAAAGTCCTTCATTTAACGATATAGTGGAGTAAAAATAGGCCTTTGGTCAGCCGTTTGCATGCAAGGTTCCTAACATTACATAGGCAGTATTATGTATTTAACTTTTGGATTGTGTTACTGATTAATTAATGAGCAACATCTTACTGTTTATTGGGCCATTTCAACTTTTTAATTCTCTTTTAAATTATTTTAGTCTTTTTTCCATACACATTGACAACATTTATAAATGCTTTTATTCCATCAAAATTAAAAACATCAGTGCAAATCAGAATAAAATGCAATAAAATCACTTAATCCCTTATTCTGCTTGATCAATAATTCCAGTTAAAATGCTCCACAGAGAAACATGGCAGTAACATTTTCAATTTGGTGCAAGGACAAAAGAGGTTGCAATTCTGCACCGTTGCTTCCCTGAGAAAAATAATCAAAGTCCTGCACCTGACAATAAAACACAAACACTCCCCAGTTCCCTTTCAATTTAAATCCCTTCACATCTGCAGTAACGTTGTGCATCAAAACTTTTATATTTTAGTACCATTCAGCATTCAAGTAAGACCCGATGCATTTTGTTTCCAAGTTTGTGTTGGCAGTTAAAGCTTGAATTAAAATCATCCATAGGCAGTTAATCAGTGATAGCTGAAATTGGAAAACATAAACAAATGTAAATAGCAGTTTCACTCCAATTCAAATGAATGGTATGTTATAATACTAAATCAACCATAAAAGATAAGTTTGGTGTCCCTTCTTATGCTTTTAACTAATTCCTAGTTTAACATTTTTATGAATGACTGATTGTTAAACCTCTCCGAGCGTCTACAGTTTGGGGATGGGGTTTGCTGCCACGGCGATGCTCTCGACGCCACACTCGTCGCTGCCTCTGCGGATCCTGAAGTAGCCGTCCTCACCCCAGTTGGTGCTCCAGCTGTTTTTGACAATCCAGTACTTCTGACCGGTCATGTGGCAGCGGCCGTAGCCCACCAACAGCACGGCATGGTTGGTCAGCTCGAAGGGATTGAAGGGGTCTCCGAGGCCTGTGTGGTGGTAGATGCCCTCCTTATAGTGCATGAAGTCGGGGTAGACCTGTGAAAGGATACGGACGATTTACATTTATTTTTTAAGAGCATATCACACTCAAGCTATACCTTATAAAGGGAGGGCTAATGAGTTGTAAAGACAACATTACAAAAGGCATTTCATTAAAAAAAAAAAGTTACATTTACCTTCATTTTATAAATAAAAATGAATAAACTAACGGTTAACACTTGCTAGCATTTTCCTAGCTTAGCTGTGCACTGGGGTTAATGGGACAAATTAAACCTTTACTTCCAGAGAATTTGCAGATAGCTTACACTGAGTTGTTGATATTACACTATGTATGGAGAGTTAAATCAGAGCGACAGACTACTCAAACAAAAAAAGCAGTGTAGCGTTCAAAAGTTTTGCAACACAAAACAGAAGTAGTCAAATGATATATTGCAGGGTTTCCATTAGTGTTTTATAGCCAAGACAGGCCAACTTCCCAGATGAAAAGACCACCTCCATGAATACTGTAGAATCAAAAACATTAATCATAAGGCCCACAGTGGGTAAAATGTACCAACTGTGTGAATTAGAAGCCAACTGTTTTATTATGCACACAGTTGAAGGCAAAAAAAATAATAGGCCTTTTGACGATAATACAAAAAGACTATGAATGTGAGAGAGCCTTTGAAAAGCCTGAATATTTTCTTATTCTTAGATTTATTCTATTCATTATATCTTTAAAGGCTTTCGGAAAAAAAAGATCTCAATTTGTGCAGATTATTTAAAGTGCCACAGCTACAGCTAAATTATAACAGGCTTAAACAGAAATAGCTGAAAACCTGAATTCAAATTACTTAAACTAACATGTATTGACAAAGTAAAACCCCAATTGTTGAGTGAACACAAACTGTTTGTTTAGAAATAGCATTAAAGAAACCGTAACCAGCTGTTTACCTCAAAGGCCACTCCCATTGGTCCATTCTTGACCAGTTCCAACATCATAGCCATCTCACTGCAGCCGCCATAGAACCCGCCAACATAGCTGTAATCGGCGGTGTAGATGCGACTACAGTTCTTAGGGAGACCGCAGGGAGAGTCCTTTCCAATATATGGATAGCACGACTCATCCACCAGACCGAAGTCCTGCACGTACTTCCCAATCAGGTATGGAAATCCGCCATCGCAACCTTATAAAAGGAGAGATAAATAACTAAGTTTGTACCAAAGATATTGAAGTGACTGTTATTTTGTATATATTGATTGTTGTGCTTTTATTTATGTATTAATGTGTGCATATGTATAAATGTGTATAGATTGTGTATATATAGGATATACATATTTGTATACATATTCTTATTTTTTATTGGTATTCGGGATTGTGGGAAACGCTATTTCGATCTCTCTGTCTGTACACATTTGACAATAAAGTTGACTTTGACTTTTGACTAGATCTGACATTTTGAATTTTCTCAAGAATTGTTTGAGGTTTCTTGACTTTGTAATTGGCTGGAAACACTTCTGTGGTCCAAGATGGAAATAATAAATGAGAGCATTTCCACAACTCTACAAAATAATTACTGAAAATGTTTTAATCAGGACAATTATAACATGCTTTATACATTGCCATAAAAAAAACCACTTAAACGCTACTTGTTCTGATTAGGGAGGAAGGTGTCCCAGAGTTTCTACATGCAGCATTTGTACACTCTTTCATCATCAGCCCCTTTCACAATATGAATACTTAGCTAGGTACATTTTCTAATTACTGCCAAATTCATATCTGCAATTTTAGTGTTAACCAAATTGTTAAGGAAAGAAGATTTAAGATTGAGTTCAAGTTTACCTTGAGAATATTCGGAACAGGAGACCACTTGCTGGGGGCTGAGGATGGGGGTGTCGGTATTGTTGGTGAGGATTCGAATTCGAGCTTCCAGCATTCCCATGGTGGCAAAGGAGTAGCAGCTTCCACACGATGCTGAAACAGAACATCAAATATTTACACTGGAGGCAAATCTCACCGCTGTGCTATACAACAGCACTGCAATAAATCATAACTTTGAGAAGCTTAAGATGAAGAGATTTTTCTTGACTGTAGACAACTGATGTTGTACTAGAAAGAGAATACGTGCGTTTAACAGTATATCGTTATGTATGTAAACAAAGAGTTTGTCTGTTATTACTTTCTTATACATGTAAATAAAGTGGACAAAATTGGAAGCACCTTTTAAACGAACACAATACCAATAAAAACATTACCTTAATGTCAACATATCATAACATAACATATATGGTAAAGGGCGTACAGTACATGCAACCTTCTACAACACCACTGAAATATAAACCCTAATAAATTGTTAACGATGCATTGCAGTAGAACATTTGTCCAAGAACACATTTCATCAGTCAGCATTTCACTTTCTGTGATGTTTCTGCCCCAGCATACTCATTTGCATTGGTTGCAATGCATACTACTGAATGGATGCACAGACAGAAGCACCATCGATAGTGAGAGACACCATATTCTTATTAAAATCCTCATCTGGAACAAATTAGGTCAGAGAACAGAGGCTGTGGGGATTTGCAAAGTGGTTTAATTGTAGTAATGATTCAAGTCAGAGTGAAAGTGAGAACAGTTTTCATTTGGGACAATACTTACATCTCCTAAGACTAATAGGTGTTTCAACTTTTGATTTAAATTAAAGATCAGTGCTTGTGGGAACACTTTGGTGTCCTAATATATGATTTCATTAGTTTCTCAATTAGAGATAAAAGGTTTGTCATGACCCACAGGATGCAAGATGAAGCTTTAATTCCCTAAAAGGCTAGTTACACCTCCATCTTGCTTTAAAGTCACCGTGGGGCTGCATGTGATGTGAAAAAACAATTGTGTGTGAAGTGAAATGGAACCTATAAAATCCAGCTGCCTTGAAACATTGAAGGGAGGAAAATAATCTCTGCACAGTGACTTAGAGGGCTTCTGTTGGAACTCTCCAGCGCTCTCTAGATCCTTAAACCCAGCCCTGCAGAGGCCCTCCAGACACTCAAACCACTCAGCTCACATAATCTCTCCCTCACACACCAGGCTGTGCAGAAACACAGGAGGAGAGCAGGAAGTACGCCCAGGCCTGCCAGGAGGAGAGCAGAGGATCTGGAGAGCTGCTGTTCAGTCTGCCCTTTGGACATCTTCTCAAGCGTAAAAGTAAAGCTTTGTCTGCTTCCTGCAATTCTTCTCATTCATATTGTTTAAATGTCTGGAATTAACCGATTTTGCATGTTAGCAGTTAACAGTAAAAAAGCTTCAAAGTAAAGGTGAATGTATTCTTGTATTAATAATATCACTATATAAGCATACTACGTTACATAGTTTATCTGTTAATTAAGGCTGTCTTTTCACACTAAAAAGGTCCTGACGTCCTCTAGAGTGGACATACTGTAACATTTAAAATTAAATTACATTTAAAAAGTCTAAATTGCAAGAGGTTTTTTTTAACCATAAATAGGAGAAAAATAATAATAATTGGAAGACACTTTTTTCCCTCAGTTCCAGGAGGATATGAGGGACAGCAATTGAGTTTCACCTTGATTTCGCACAGGACTGATGAAGTTAACGCCATTAACGTTCCTCCAATCCCAGCGCTCAGGTAGAGCAGCCGCCATCTTGGCCAAACCAGCTTTGACTGGCATAGGGCGAACACGCCTTAAGAGAAAAAGTAAGAATCAGAATTAAATAAAAATGCTAAATTATGTTAAGACATTTTGCATGGACAAACTGTTTTAAACAGAACGCCTCATACTATAGAAATTAAGGCATGACAACTTAAAGGTGGATCTGTTAAACCAAGTAATATTGCAATGTTTTACCAGATGGGTTCAATTCAAGCAGATGTCCATTGTACTGTTCTTACTACCATTGTAAGAATGTGTTTGTTCTGAATGATTAGAGCCCTTATAACGCATTCCATTAGAATGAAAAGAAAAGGCCAAAATAAACATTTTGGATATTAGAATAGGCAAGGCAAAACAAGTTTATTTATATAGCACCTTTCAACAGAAGGTAATTCAAAGTGCTTTAAGAAATAGTGCAGCTGAATCACATTATAAAATGTCAATATAATAAAATCCCTTCCACATTTGCAACCATCTGCCAATAACTGTCATCTGTTCAGTTGATGGTGTACTGGTAGTGTGTATAAAAGCACTCCCACACACCTCCTTACTAAATGAATGCAACAAGCTAAGCAGGGCTCATTGTAACTTTGATAATTGAGTAGTTTAAATAGTAATTGAGCACAATAGTTATGACATAGGAGACAAATATTACTTATTAATGTGCATTCATGTGTTTTTCCCACTGTGATATACTATGGGAGATGCAGGTGAACACTCACTGAGGGATGCGGGAGGCGGGCCCTCCTGCGCGGTACTGCAGCTCCCTCAGAGTGAACAGCTCGTGCTCGGGGTAGGCCGCAGCCTTCCAGGACTTCTGGACAGAGTTGATTAAATCAACAAAGTCCAGGTTGTGTTTGTACGGCTTCTCGAGCAGCCTGGAGGTTGAACACAGTCACATATAAAAGGTATTGTGTGTCACACAAAAAAAAGCAAAAAAGCTGGGTTAAAAACTCAAATGACCTTACCAATGTTAGATAGTTAACATGTACAGCTTTGATAATATACAGACATCTGACTACTGTGCAATAAAATAGTACAAAAGCACTGCAATAAGAAACTATAACATCTGCTAGTACAGTTTAACTTGGATAATAAAGACTTGCTAAGACATTGTCCAGTTTTTGATACAACTTCATAAAGAGGTTTACAGCTAAATTGTTCCCTGGAGTGCTAAGGACATAATTCAAAGTTGATGGTAGGAAAACTCCCAACACCATAAGTGTATTTTTCATCCAGATTACTATCTGACAAGGCAGACCTACAGAGTTCACACCCTCAACTACAGAATCATGTGCAGAAAATATCCACGCCAGCCAAGAGACAACTTGTAAAATGTGACAAAAGTTGCCACAATTTGCTTGCTGGATACCTGCAGATTGTGTTATTTACAGATTATAATTGCAAAGTATAAATGTTTCAGTAGCTATTGTAAGCTTCCTCCATGTGAGGAAATGTAAGGAACGGTCATGCTTTAATATCAGATATGAATTTAGATTCCAGGCCCTTATGAATGGCCTACTGAGGGTGAGGGTTCACATCACAGAAGGGACTAGAAATGTATAAATAAAGCAGAAAGGTCAAAACTGCAGAGTTCACTGAAAGCAGAGATCCTCAGTATTGCATGTGTTTAGACTCTACACAATAATATTCCGATGTTTTGCTCTCTAGCTTGTGTAAGTTACGTTAGCTTGTGTACCTAGCTATTATAATGTACGTACCTGCTGCTGAAGAGTGGTTTGTAATCTATTTGGGGTGGTACTGATTTCACTTTCTTCGCCACGAAACAGGCCCAGTTGTGTCCCAGGACATCATGGACCCACCCCGGCATGGTCTGGTCACAGTAGGTGGTTACCCATAGCCCACCTTCAGTGTACTGCAAGTGAAGTGAGACAATCAGATTAGTCGTTTGGTGTCCAATATGCAATTTTATGTAAATACAAAACCTGAATGAAGATTAGATTATTTCCTAGTAATATATTTTCAAAACATATTTCGTTATTATGTTCCATCCAAAGTCTTAATCAACAAAAACCTCCCTAATCCTCACAACTTGCTACTTTTAGCCTAGTCAAGTCTAGAAAAATAGGGAAGTTGAACTAAATATGAACAGCTTGAATCCAATCACGGGTTAGAAACAGACAGGCTATGACACTTCCTTCTTCTTCAGTAGGACTCAGATGAGGGTGTTGCACTTTTCCTTTTCCTTTTCCTTTTCCTTATACATGTGATGTTTTGGTGTTTTGTTTCTTTCCGTTAACCGTCAAGTGGGAAATAAGTATTTTTTGTGTTTCTCTTAGTATCCTAAGATACTGTTATGTTTGGCTGTGAAAAACAAAAATTAAAAAATGTTTTATTATGAAGGGCAGACCATTTATTTTTATTTATTTATTTTTTTAGAAATGGGCTGGTCATATAAGATGTTTTTCTTCTCCCTGCTCCTTTTCGCTCAATGGTGTGTTTGTTGAGACATGTTTTGTTGGCAATTATTGTACATTGGGTTCTGCGTACCATGAGCGGGACAAATGAAAATGAAATGAAACTCAGTGTCACATGAGTGATGGGAAATGTCACATGAGAAAAGATCAATCTCAAATATAGCTGCTTTTAAACTGTGCATATTTCTAATTCCTTTCAGCCTGGCCTAGTGCGCATCAAAGATGTTAAAGATAACCACTAACCACATTTCAGATAAGGAGAGAGGAAAATGAGTGACAGTGAAACTAAACCATTAATGTCAGGCAGTGATGCATGATGAGTTGGACGTTGACCACATAAAGTTTGTGGTCAGCTGGGCTTTCACAAGAAAGATGATGTGTATAAAACGAGCTAAGCTAAAGTGCAAAAAGAGGATATGAAATTGTTTGCTGCAAGCATTTTTACTAGACTGTATTAAAAAACATCACAAGTCAGAAGTATGGGGATGACACAACTGAGAGGAGAGAAACTAAAAAGCTATAACAGATTTACAGAAAGTGTGATGGTGAGAGCATGGGCGTCGCAGCCATTATATGAGGGTGGGACAAGTCCCCCCCACTTTTTCAAATGATTAGTTTAGACCCCCCCACTTTTACTATGCGGAAAGTCCGTGAATCGGTCTATCCACTCGCCGCACTTTGTAGAGCGCTGTGTCAGTGCTTCACTATCAAATGAAATCCATTCCACTTGCTTATTGAGAGAATGCCCAAATCAATGAAACTCCGTACCATGTTTTCACTGCTACTTTGTACCAAGGCAGATTCTCACATAGCGCGCGCATGTTCAAGGAGTGTTGTCATAGTTGGACAGCTCAGATCTGTTGTATGAAGCGATGCCGGTAGCGGAGGTAAGGCACACACACCAAATGTTCGGGAAATGGTTAATACAGCGAAAATCAAAGCTGACGATCTCTTGGTTTGATATGTTTTCTCTCCCAGACAACATGGGCATAAGAACATTTTTTTCAAAGAAGAGGAAAGTAAGTCATCAGCTGGTAGCAGTTAATCAGTTAACAGTGATGGCGGCGTCTCACTTCTGGAGAGGAGTTTCGTCTTTATGTCATGATAGAGAGATACAAATACTGAATAGTTTAGATGAGAAAAGGCATCGAAATGCCAGGTTACTAGTATTTATCAGTATTTATTATCACTTCACCACCTCTCTTGACATCTAGGCACTTGAGAGTGAGTCAGAGGCAGAATACAGGGACAGTGGAGAGAGGTCCATTGCTGAGGTGAGTGATGAAAGGGAAATGACAGTTGAGAGTAAATTGTGATGTGGACTCTCATCCCAGGATTTTAAGGAAATCAGTGGGGATATTGAACAGGAAACATTTCAGTCAAGGGGCATCATATGACCAATATAGACAGAAGAGCAACATTTATTTGAACATTTAAGTCAATGATACCATTCCTAGGTGAACTTAACATCTGTATGGAGTCAGATCAGTCTCAATATTAATAAATGCTCACAGAAGGATTCACAAATGTATTTTGCGATTTATATATAAATGACTCTCCACAACAATATCTCTCAATGCACTCACAAATATTTATTGTTGTATATAAATGTACAAAAAATGGGCATTTAAACTGCTTTTTATTAATTCAAAGACAGCTCTGAATTAATAATCAAATATGTTTCCTTTCTTTACTACTGAAATTACAAAATGTACCCATCATTTTCCTCATGCTAGTATAGCCACATAAAAGTATCAAACCACCTGTTAAAATGCACCAGAATACAGGAAATCTATATTTTTTTTCGCCCCCACACCCCCGTTAAAAATGTCCCCCCCACATTCAGGATGCTTCCTACGCCCATGGGTGAGAGGGAGACACAGAAAGCCTTCCATGCAGGGAATAAATTGGTGGGTGTCAATTTAACACTACTGAAAGTCACTTGAGTTTTAATTTCCTGCCAGTGGAAGCGAGAAAATATCAAGATTGAAACACGAGCTTCAAACCAACCAGGAAATTAGTCGTTTTTGCAGAGTAACCATGACATAATACTCACATTTTGTCTCAAATAGGTGAATTGTGTCAATGCATGTTTTACCTTGAAGAAGGCGAACCATTTGTAGCCATTGATGACCACTTCAAAACCCTGGTTGTAGACGAGGGTGAAGAAGCCGCTGTTCCCCAGCTCATCTGTGGATACTGACGGTTTCTCCAGGGTCACAGTCACCGTGCTCTCAACCGTGGCTGAGGAGGAACACCAAAACATACAATGTAGAGTTTAACTGCAGGAAATGATTAAACCATAAGTTAATCATCAGTCCTCAACAAAAAGAAAATGTGATCCCATGGATGCCAATACATTGAGCAAGTATGAGTTTTGGCTGGCACTATGTGGAAGTGAAAGCAACTGAAAGTCCCATTTGTTGTATGCTCAAACACTTAAATTACAGATGCAGACACAATAGAAAGAGTAGAGAATATGTGTATATCTATATTTGTTTGTATGAAAACATATTGAGCAAGACAAAGTGTTAGCGGAAGAGGAAGTCATCATTCTGCTTTAGTGTCTGCCCAAAATTCAACAGGTCCTAACATGTCAGCTGATTTCCAAATAGCTAAACTATTCTCAGTCTCACTCCTCAGTCTCATAATGAGATCATTTCAATACTGTGTTGGTGTGTTTACCTGCAGCAGAGCAGTTGATGTTCTTGTCGTGTCCTCCTTTGGACACCTGAAACACCCATGTCCCCAGCAGGTCCTCATAGGTGCAGTTGGCCGGGGTGTCCCCCCAGCTGCCCTCAACCCATAGCAGGAGCACACACACAAGCACACCGCTCGACCTCATCTTCACACACAGCTAGCGTACCTGCACACACACCTAATAGCTACGCACCGAGTTCTGGGTCTCAGATAAAAGCCTTAAAGTTTGACCCCTGTTTGTTTACCTGCGCTAACTGGCCCCAACTTCTTCTGTTGTTACACCCGTCCTCTGTCTGCTCTGCTATTTATGCAACCTGAAACTTTCAGACAAAGATACACTTCAGTTTCTAGGGTCAAGATTACTCACTGTAGCTCAACAACAAGACAAAGCAAGCGCCCTTCTTTAAAACCTGCTGCTATTCTAACCGTATTTCCAAAACATAAGCTCGTGTGCATTTATTTAGTTTAGTTATTTAACCTACATGTTTAACGCATATACTACCTCTCAGCGCACTATACGTAGCGTATCGTTATTTGAACACTTTAAGTATGTGTTAAAGAGACTTAAGCTAACAAGAAAACCCACACACGTACTTCTCTCGCCCTAAACCGTTCTTTGTCTGCCGCTTTTTGGTTTCATTTTCCTTGTCACATGACCTGTGAGCTGGGGGCATGCGCAGTAGCGTTAAAGAAAAATCAGAAAAAATACAAACCGAGGTAGGTGTTGCTTCTTGTTGATGACCATTATACATCCATGGTTGATGATAGTTAAAAAGGGTGATGAAAAAGAATAATAATAGTACCTGTAGATAAAAAAAAACAAAAAACAAAACATGCTGTAAGATATTGGATACACATATGTTATGTTCCAGACAGTAAAGGTCTGAAAGTATGTATGTATATTATGAAAAGCGAGTTAATATGCAAATGTATGTGCATATGTGTGCATGAATGTGTCTATATATCGATATCGATATATATATATATATATATATATCTATAGGCTATATGTGGGTGTGTTTGTACGTATTAACGTACCTTTATTTTGTATTGCACACTTTGTTCCAAAGGAAAGTAAAAGATAATACAAAACCCAGCAACAGCCTGCTCACCTTGCTGCCATCTGGAAGGAGATACAGAAGCATCCGATGTTGTACGTACTGACTACAAAACAGCTTCTTCCTCAGGCTGTGAGATTTCTGAACTCAACCTCCAAACTCCACCAACAAAAAATCATAAAAATTGTATTGTACAAAATGACCTTTCCCTTATTTTCTGTAAATAGGACAATACGCTCTTGTTCATTTGTTTCTTTTCACCTCTGCTGTTTAGCTCTTGCTGATAATGTTGAGGTTTTCTAATAATCCATGTCGAGGAATTCTCTTTTCACTTGTCAACTTGCCTGTTTGAATGTGTGTGTTTAGGCGTGTTTGCATGTGTCATTGCAGCCCGATTGGTCTGTAGTTAAAGGTGTTAAAAGGCTTTATTTTTGCCAGCGGCCACTTAAAGCAAGTGCTGGGGGCTTTGATCACCATAGTAACCATGACATAGACTGACTCATCTTCTTGACAGACCATAATAAGCACTCATCTGAAGAAGGGACTGAAGAGGTATTAGTCATGCAGGCTCATTAGTGCCATTACTCTGTATGTGTGTGTGGCAGTGTATCTGTGTGTATGTTATTCGTTTTATGTGTCCCTATGCAATGACGCAAAATAGAGGACCAGGGAGACGGAAGGAGGATGAATGTTAACAGTCTGAACCCACTGAGTTCCCGCCAAGAGTGACTCATTGAAACTCGTGTTTCAATCTTGATATTGTTCTCGCTTCCACCGGCAGGAAATTAAAACTCAAGTGAATTTCAGTTCTGCTATATTGGCACCCACAGATTTGTCCCCATCTTGCATGGCTTCCTCTGGCTCCCTCTCGCTTTCATCACGTTCTCTTCTGTCATGCATTTTTGTAATCTCTCCTTTCCTCTCATACTTCCAACTTGTATGGTTTGATTTCTTGTGCACAATACATACACAAAAGGTCAGGATCTCTAACAAGCGTTAGGCAATACAAAGCTTCTCAACCTGTTTACATGCCTATTCAATAGTTTTCTTGATTAATCAATTTCAGGTCCATACTTTTTGTATATGTTAAATGTATAGAAGAAGAATTGCGCAGCTTCTAAAAGCCCAATGCCCTAAAACAGTCCAAAACAACAACAATGCCATCTAAAAAGACTGCAAAACCATTTTGAGATGCTTTGACTACAAAATATTCAGTATTTTTGCTTGAAGATGTACTCAACCGACAAATCCTTTATCTACCTGTGTGTCAGTGTGTGTGTGTTTACAGGTGTAGAGTGAGTGAGAGTGTGTGTGTGTGTGTGTGTGTGTGTGTGTGTGTGTGTGTGTGTGTGTGTGTGTGTGTGTGTGTGTGTGTGTGTGTGTGTGTGTGTCAGCAGAAGACTGCCTCTGTCTGTATTTCCCTTCTTGGTATTCTCGGCACAGTTCCTCACTACCTACCACATTTAAAAATATCCTTCCTTGAAACTGCAGCATATTTGAGCCTGATCAAACCTGTATTTTGTAGAGGTTAAGATTACATTTATGCAAATTTAAACTCTGAATAAATTACTGAAATGTGCTGAAATGTATATAATTTTAATAATGACATTTCTAATAAAACTTCACTCAGTTCAGCCCGGTTGGGTCATATCTGAAGCTGTTAAATACCTGATTAACATCCATGACTAAACTGTCATTAATTAATATCTTAACATGCTGTTTAAAAGCTATTAGACTCCTCATGTCACGTATGTTAAGAATGTAGCTGTTCAATCATGTTTTTGTTCTAATTGACAGGAGAGAACATCTGTTAGCACTATTATCAGCATTGTCTTTTCTGCGCCTTGAAACACACATTGATCAGCTGGAAAAAGGATGCAAGAGCAGTATTTCATTAAGTTGGAGGTGTGGGTGGAGCCACTTCATCACAAAGTGGGGTTGGCCACACAGGCCCTGTGGAATTAATGCTACACCCTTCACATTTAAATGAGGTCTTCTGGAGCTGCTTCACGGTCAGTTGCCTCAGCCATACGCAAACACCTATACACACACCAGTTGTTTTCACCTTCTTCGCACATATGTGCATGCCCACACATGCATGCTGTGTATACACGCAGCAAACATATACGCCAATGCACACACACACACACAGTCTGACTCAGTGTTAACCACATGCTGCCATGACACCCCATGCCCACACACACTTTATATATAGGGCCCACCTGACTACGGTTAAACCCACCACATGTCATTTACATGGGAATTAACAATGATTACAGTAACTATATGCTGTGTGACGCTGTAAAAGGGTTACTCACCATTTTAAGAAGCCAAAGGTGCACTCATTGATTTTCCTATAATTTTAAAAACTGTGAGTAAATGAGATTGAATTGAAAACTAAAGGCGGTGTATTTGCTCTCCAGGGTGCTACAGCATCATATATAATATCCACAGGTACATTTTAAAGCATCAATGAATATATAGTGAGACTGTAAACTGTGTTCGGGGTGCAGAACTTCTCTGTCCTCTGAGGATGAAGTTGCTCTGTTCCTGCATTTGAGATCGATCTCACTTGTATATTGACTTTCTTTATTACAAACGTTGTCCATTAATCATTTATCATTTTCTCTTAAGAATTTCCTCCACAGTCAATAGGAAATATTGCTTTAGGCAGACTATTTATTTATACTATAGGTTAATGTATTGCTTTTCCCTAATTTCATCTCCAGTTTTCATTTGGCAATGATTGATTAGTCAGTTAGAGATTCAGCATCTTTACTTAATTCATGAATGATGCCATCTGTGACATTCAAATAGGTTTTCCAACAGCACTTAAATGGAGATGCAGAAACAACTATTTATATTCGAGCATTAAAGGTCACCTATTCTGCAAAATCCACTTTTTCATGTATTTTATACATAAACATGTGTCCCCTCTGTGTAAAGAGATTCTGAAAGTTTCAGGAAAAGAGATTCTCTCTCTTCTTGTCCTGATCCATTTCTATAAAAACCTGTCTGAAAATGAGCTGATCAGATTTTGGCCACTTTATGATGTCATGACGATTTTTTGGGTTGTGTAACCATTAGCCAATCACCAACCAAGGTATTGTATTGTTTGGTTTCTTATGCACAAAACATACACAAAAGGTCAGGATCTCTAACAAGCGTTAGGCAATACAGAGCTTGTCAACCTGTTTACATGCCTATTCAATAGTTTTCTCGATTAACCGATTTCAGGTCCATACATTTTTTAGCATTAAGTCAATAAATGCTTCTCAAGAGATAAAAACACAAATGGTGCGAGCGCTACAAGAGAAAAAATTAAAATAAATGATGCACTCATGATACTTGAATAAACCCACCTGTGATGAGCAGAGCTGATCAATGTGTTTGTGAACATGTTAGCACCCAAATTGTATCCATTGTAGTGACAAACAAATTTCTACCTGCTGCCTTTTATTTGTTTCTCTTTTTGTTGTATTTCTGCCGTTTGCTCATTGCCTCTTTATCCTTTCCATTTACTTGAATGGCGAGTAATTTGCGACAATTTGGCAATTTCATTTTGGAGAGAGCAATGTCTGCACTGAGAGGTGTAGAAAGAGAAAGAAAAGGGAAATAAAAGAGGGTGAAGTGGGGAGACGACAAGGTGATGGGGATAGAGAATGAAAGACTTCACGGCTCTGATCTGTATGTATTCACCTAAATTGAATGTTTTTGGGCTGATTCAAAGCGTGGCTGTGTCTCTCTGTCACAGTGGCTGGTGAGGAGCTGCAGGAGAGAGTGAATATCACAGGAGGTGCTGTCTCGCAGTTTCCACTGACTGGTTTCAACAGGCCAGACACTCAGACTGCAGGACTCATCTATTGTGGGCGAGGAAACTGGGAGTTTGTCCAACAACTGGATGAAATAAAACCAATGGAGACTGAAAACTATAGGTTAGAAAAACGTTTTGTTCTCCAGACCTGAACCCTAAGGGCTCTGTTTTAGATCAACAACTTCTAACTTTTGCATGATTATTGCTATGACAATCAGATACATATACGGATTGGTTTGGATCCATGTATGTATCTTTTTTGCAAGATATCTA